GCCCGCGTCCAGCTGGTAAAAGACAGAAAGAAAATCTCTCCACTTCCGGTCATCTTTTTCCTATTTCTAAATTCTCTGCCTCTTGCCTAGCAGCGCGCACTCTGGATTTTCCGTGATTTCCAGAGCTCTCAAAGTTTAAACGAAAGAAATAAAAATAAAGAAAAGAAATGAGGATCTGTAAAATGCCATCGTGGCCAGGGCCTCCGCAGTATTTCAGCCGCTGCCCCCTTGGCCCTTCTAGGCGTGGCTGTCTGTGAAGTTGGAAACTGCTTCTTTCTCCTTTCTGGAACCCAGCCGAACCGTGAGCAATCGCTTCCTCGGTCTCACTGCTGTCCGTGTTGTTGGTTGGTGGCTGTTTTTCTATTCCTGCATTTTTCTCTAAATCCCTGGGCTTTGGGTTACTGAACGCAAACGTTCGGCACAACTTACAGCAGCCTCAGGAAACCTGGAAACAGAAAAACCAGAAGGCAGAACGCAAATCTGCTTTTGTGTTTAACTGGGGGCTTTGGCGACTGGAGGAGCGCGGGCATAAAACACCGCTGCGGAGAGGCCCGCCGCGTGGACAGCTTCAAGTAACAACTGGCAAAGCGACGTCCTGCTGCCACGGAGACGGACGGACGGACAGATGGCGTGTGGGAAAACCCACAGGAAATGTCAGCGCTTGGGGCTGCAGAAGCCGCTTCCCGGGCTGAGAGTGCCCGGGTCCAGATGTGGCCTGCAAAGGATGAGGAGGAAAAGAAAGAGAAATCTCACTGGCCGGCCAGAGTCTCCATGGCTGAGCAGGCACCTCCTGGAGAGCCGATCCCCGGAAAGAGCACCCACGGCCCTTGGGGACCCCGGGCTGCGCTGCGAGCCCCCGTGCACGGAGCCCTGAGATGCCCCGCCTGTGGGGAGTGGCAGCCTCTTCCTTGGGCTTTAGAGACACTCAGGACGGCCAGCTCCCATCCTCTCTCCTCCTCCAAAGAGATAAGAAGGTTTCAAGCCAACAGCGGGAAAAATAAACATTTTTAAAAGTTGATGTTTTTGAGCCCGGGCCTGATGGTGCACGTCTGTTGTCCCAGCGCCCAGGAGGCTGAGGCAGGATGGCCTTGAGTTGGAGGCCAGCCTATACTACATAGTGAGACCCTGTGTCAAAAAACAAGAACAACAACAAAAATACAGGCCAAGGGAGAAGGAGCAGAAGTCAAATTCCCCCCAAAAAGCAGCTGGCAATGTCCGAGGGTCACCAGGAACTACACACATTCAGTGCTTCATTGTGGCCACCAAAGCTAAGCTCTGCTTCCAGCCAGGACGGACCCACGGCTATTTTTACCCCTGAGTCATCCTTCCCAGGGGAGGGGGGGAGCACATGTTTTTTAACACTTGAATACAAATATTTATAAGTTTATTTATATCTCGGCTTTACAAGATGTACATTCAGATGCATCACTTGACAGAACACACGCAGCCGTCAGTGTAACCGAAACAAAACGAAACAACAACAAAAAAGAAAACTGCCCAAATCCGTTTCCCCAGATACCCCACCATAGCAGAAGGGATAATAGGGTTTTTTATTTTTCCAAGACCGGCAGTTTGGGGAGAAAAGTCTCAGTATTTCTTTACATTCTTTTTTTGCAATCCCTGAAAATGGGAGTGCAGAAATCCCAGGCTGAGCCGTAAATCATTCTAGCTGCTCATAAATTGAGCGAGGAGAGAGAGAAAAAAGAGAGAAGGGAAAAAAAGCAACAAGCTTGAGAAATATAAAAGTAAATGCCATGCGGTGTCAAATTTACACTCGACATCATTAGAGTCGCACACGTTAGGGGACATTGGAGCAAAGCAAAACGAAAAACTGAGAAATAAATAACACATCCACGTACGTCTGTCGCGGGAATGGCAGACCCCACGCACAGCGGGCTGGGCCCTTCCACGCCGCCCTCTGTCTGCTCGACAAATAGCTTGTTTCACTACTTCGAAACGTCCACCTTCCTCCACCGACCTCCCCTTAAATATCAGCTCTCACTAAACCACGTACACGTTGCATTCGGGTTGGAAACGAGCCGACTCACGTTCCTGACTTAGTTTTTTCTTCTTTCCTCCGTCTTAATAAGTTAGGCAGCAGTTTTTAAACATGTGAGACTTTTGTTCCCCACGGACTCCCTCGGGCCTCCCAGACTGGCAGGACGGGAAGCAGTCGGCAGACGCCTTCAGTGCGGATGATAATACCAGTGTTGGGAGACTACGGGTGTCTGAGCGAGCATCGACAGGGCCGCAGGCCCGAAGCGGAGCCTCCTGCTCCCCGGGCCTGCAGGGGCCACAAGAGCGGGCACTCAGAAGCCACGCTCGGGCTCCACAGAAATCAGGGGTCCCGGGGCTGCAGCTGGCTGGGCCGGTCACACTGGCTGGCAACTTTATGACTCGGGAAGCGGAAGGTGGTGTGTACTTAGCTCTCCTGCAAAACTCCAGGGCCGGCGTCCGGCCACCCACGCTGGGCCACGGGCGCAGGGATGCAGGAGGCCTCCAGGCTCGGGGACCACACACATCCCTGCCGCTTCAAAGAGAACGGAGAAGAGAAGACCCACTTCTAACTCCAGCAGCCTGCGAGGCTGGACGCTCTGCAAAGCGTGCACGACTCAGGCCCGGTCCACCCCTGTCCACCCCCGCTGGCCACGCCAGGGCCCTACCCGGGCCCACGGGAGGCAGCTGCGTGGCCAGCACACGTGTGCAACTGAGCCACAGGCCCGGGGCGCCAGGCTTTGGCTGAGCCGAGCAATTCCCATCCTGAGCTGACTGCAGGACCCACCGAGCGTTTTGGGGGAACATGAATCACTTTCCAAGCTCAGCCGGCGTGGTGGACACCAGGTGATTTCCTCCTGCGCTGCGGCACGCTCCGCAAAAGGCTGTCGGAAGATGCGCGCTGCAAAGTCCTCCGGTTTGGTTTTGTTGTGTCTGTTTCTTTCTTTCAGCAGAAAGCACCAAGCACAGCTAAGAGGCATCCGCCCTATCCATTTGATGTCTCCCGTCCTGTCGGGGCTGGGGAACCAGGTGCGTGCCATAAAACCCAAGGCCCCCAAAACCAAAAATAAACATTTTAAAAAATGGAAAAACAGAGGGAATGAGATGCAGGTCAAGACGTCCCTCTGAAGAGTCCAGGAGACAGAGCCTCTGAAATAAGAGAGGCTGGGTCCTCGCCCACAGCCCCAGGGACCACTGTCCCCGGACCACAATGGATGCTGAGCCCTGAGGGTCCCCAGGCCGGCCTCGGTTGCTGCGAAACCAGACACACGGCCCGGTCCACACCCTGCCAGGGCTGGACTCACAGGCCTGGCTCATACCCGGGGCTTTCCGGCCAGGGACAGACGGGCGGCGGGGACAGGGGACCCCATGGAGACTCAAACTGTTATCAATCGGCTCATTTGGGCGGCTGGACAAGGCTGTTTTTTATTCACAGCTGTTGAAATCAAACAAAAGTGGGGTGCAGGTGGGCTCAGGGGCACCCTGGGCCTGGCCTCACCCTCCATGCCCGGCACCTCTGCCGGAGTCTTTACCAATGAAAACGCAACTGTATGAGAGAAACACGCTAATGCTGGGGGCAGGGGCGTCCAGTGACTTAAAGATGCCGTCCTTCCTCTCTGTCGCTTGGGAGCAGCATTAAAATTTCAAAATGACAAGAAGGGGAGGGAGAGACAGGCCTGGTGGTGCGCGTCTGTCATCCCAGCACTCTGTGAGGCTGAGGCAGGAGGGTCTCAAGTTCCAGCCCAGCCAGGGCCACTTACCAAGAGCCTGTGCCAAAACTTAAGAATAAAAGATAAGGAAGGCTTGGGATGCGGCTCCATGCCAAGGCCCTGGGCTCACTCCCCAACACCAAAGGAAAAGAAGAACTAGTGGGGACACTCGGATGCGAGTATCCGGTGACATAGGACAGATGAGGCAAAGGGGGAAACGACGCATCCGAATCTTTTCTGGAAAGATGTACCAAAATCAGGTGGGTAAGCAAACAAAATCTCCAAGGCCGACTCTGGCGAGGCCGAAGCCTCCGTCTTTAATTATTTGGGAGACCGAGGCCGGGCCCTGCCACCCCCCACCCCCCACCCCGGGCCTTCACTATGCCAAGGTCCGGGGTCCAGGCGCGTCCCCAAAGATGAACAGCAGCAGCTCAGACCGCAGAGGGCTGCTCAGGGGCCCCAGCCCTGCGCGCTCCCGAGCCCTAGGGCGGAGGCAGAGGCGCGCGTGGCTCTGGACCCAGCCGTGCAGCAGTCGGCTCTGCCACCACCTCCCTCTCCTCCCCGGTGCCACCCACGTCCCCAGGGGACCGGGTGGTTTGCAGCGCGTCCAACGTGCGGGCACCGATTCCCCACCCCCCATGGCCGCCCACGTCCCTGCGGCCAGGCCCACGCGTGCGGGACCAGGCAATGATGCCCCTCGCCCCGCTCCTCGCTCCTCTTTAAATCTATTGTATGTACAATATTGCACTTCCCTGCCTTGCAGCCTCCTGCCGTCCCCTCCAGGCCCCAGGTGCACCCACCAAACAACACAGCCAGGAGCCGGACAGGAAACCAACGCCTCGGCTATCAGAGGCTCACAGTCACCGAGGCGAGGCGCTGAGCTAGGGCCCCGGGGCTCCCACCCTTTCTGCGCTTGGCACTGGGGGCTTCGGGGTGTGCGCGGGGACCCGGGACCCTTCGGATCCGGCCTGCTGGGGCTCCCTACGGCGTTTCCTTATTGCTGCGCTGGGGCGGGAAGCAGCCCTGCCTCCTCCCGAGGTGCGCGGTCCACTTGAAGCTCGCCCTGTGCCCTGCAGTTTGCTCCATCGCAGCGAAGCGCTGCTGTGCGTCCCGGGAGACCAGCCCGGGCGCGTCCTCCTGGCCCCGGGCTCCTCCGAAGGTGAGCGCTCAGCTGCGTGCACAGGCTTGGGGACCCTCTGCCGGCAGCAGCGGCGGGCGGGGCGCGGAGCCCCGGACCCTCTGGGCGCCCGTCCCAGGCTGCGCGGTTCGCTGGCCCGGGGCGCGGGCGGCCGGGGGTCAGAGTCCCAGGGCCTCGGCGTGCTTGCGCGCCTTCAGCCGCAGGTCCGCGATGCTGGAGTTCTTGCTGTTGCTCTTGGCAGCTGCAGCCACCACGGCAGCGGCTGAGGCCGACTCGGCCAGGGACGCGATGGGGAGGCCGAAGGGAGGCGGCGGAAACATCAGGTAGGGCGCGTGGGCCGCCAGGTGCGGATGCAGGTGCGGGTGGGCGTGCGCCACGCCTTCCAGCTGCAGCTGTGCCTGCACCTGCCAGAGGGCGCGCGGTCAGGGGCGCCCCCAGGGGACCCAGCCCCAAAGGCTCCTCCGCTTCCCCTGCCCCGGCCAGCGCCCCGCTCCTGGGGTCCCCAGCCCTGCCAAGCCGAACCCGGCCCTAAGCCTAAACTGCCCAAACCACACCCAAACCCTGAGCCTCACCTCAGCCCCAGCCCAGCCCGGCCCCAAGCTCGACCCTAAGCCTAAGCCGAACCCCAAGCCTAGGCCGAGACCCGATACCATCCAGTGCCAACCCCACCTGATCCTAACCCCACCCCTATCCCTGGGTGCCTACGTCTCCCGGGGACCACTGGCCTCCTTCCCGAGAGCCAGAGTCCACCGGAGACAGACAGCCGGAACCCTAGTGGCCCTTGGGGTGCAGCCTACAGTCTATGCCACAGCCCCAAAGCCAGGAGCAGCCTCAGGCTCTGGGTTGGAGCCCTGGCCTCCTGTGCATGACCGGCCCCTCTCCAAATCCCCTCTGAGGACATGGAGCGCTACCCACAGGGGTCCTGCCCCAAGTCTGTGGGTCCCACACGCAGCTGGGCCCCGGGGAAGCCAGGCCAGGTACAGCCGGTGGCCTTGCAGGACACAGGCGGAAGCACTGGGCCCCCGCCCCTGGGCCTGGGGTCCCTTCTGCTATCAGTCTGCCTGGGCTCCATCCACCTGGGGTCCACAGCAGGGCACCACCCCGGGGGATCCAGGGCCCCCTGAAGTCTTCTAGACCTTTGCAAACAAGAGGGGACCCTCCCACACCCACACCGGGCCCCAGGACGCCACTTGGAGGGGCGGCTGTAGACGGGGGTCAGGACAGAGCCCGGCAGGCCACCACCACCACGGGAGGCCGGGTGTCCACGCAGCCTGAGCCCCCGGTGGCCTGCAGCCCCTCCCAGCAGGCTCCGAGTCTCTCCTCCCTCCGTCCCTGCCTCTCTGAATTCTGTAAAAGCCTATTTTGGTTCGGGTTTCTACCTTCTTTCTCCAAGGTGACTTGGAGTTTTATGGCCGGGTTTTAAGAAGTGCCAAAGCGCCTATAAATGCCCCCTTGTAAAAGCAGCGGGCTTTCTTCTGGGAGCTGGGAGGAGAAGCTTTGAGGGCAGCGCAGGGCGCCAGGGGAGCGCGCAGGCCGGAGAGCCATACCTGCTGGAAGGGCATGCGCAGCGCGCCCATGTTCACGTAGGGGGCCACCCTGCAGGCGTCCAGGTGGCTGGCGGTGCCCAGGATGACGCCTGCGGAGGCAGAGGGAGACGGACGCGGGGGAGGGCGTCAGCGTGGGTCTGGGGCCCCGCCCGGCCGCGCCATCCCCTGGGGTCCCCACCCACCTTTGTGCATCTGGTTCTCCTGCTTGCGACACTTGGCTCTGCGGTTCTGGAACCACACCTGCAGACGGAGGGACAGAGGGCTCAGGCCAAGCATCCGGGGGGAGCGGTTCCCTTCCCCCGGGACCTGGGGCACGTCCACTTGGGGGACCCCGGCCCCTGCGCTTCCGAGCCCGCACTCCCTCGGGGCTGGGAGCTGTCAGACTCGCTAACGTTAGGGGGAAGTGGACGCCTGTCCCTTGGGTGCGCCTGCCTGCGGGACCCCCACACACCGAGGGGTGGGCAGACGCACTGCAGGGGCCTGCACCCCACCCGAGCTCGGGGCCTGCACCCAGGAACATCCGGGCCTCGCCCTGCTCTGGGCTCCCGGAGGGGAGGGAAGGGCCAGGGCCGATGTCCAACGTCCCGTCCCGTTAGTGCTGCAGGCCGCCCACTCCCGGGCTGGGTTCTCCCCGGGCCCCCTGGTGCGGGGAGCAAGGAGAGAGGACTAAGCGGGACGTCGGCCCCGCCTGGGGGGTCTGAGCTCTCCCAGCTGCGTCCCGGAGGGGCGACATCCCCCCCCCGCCACTCCTCCTCCCAACGGCGCCCCTTCTCCGTCCACGCGGGCGAAAACGCCGACCGCCACGCCACGAGGAGTGATTGGCACCGACGCAGGCTTCCAAGCCACGAGGAACCCGGGCGCCCGGGTCTGGGGCGCGCTGTGGTCCCCGGAAACCTCCCCCAACCGGAAGCGAGAAGCGAACGGGGACAGAAGTGTGGCCTCTTTTGCCGCAAAGCCGGCCCCAAAGCGCCTCAGGCTCCCGGGCTCCGTGGGAATTCGGGGCTCCTCGGAAAGGCTCTCATTTTAATGTTTCAAAACGCCCTTCCTGAATCCAGAAAGCAAAGCCCAGTCTTCCCTCAAACACACAGGAGCGTGCGTGCGCGCGTGCGTGAATGCGTGCGGGTGTGAATGAGCCTGACTGAGTGTCGCGGGGAGAAAAACAAAATTATGAGGAATAAAAGTGATGAATTAGCTGCTGCTTTCGGCACTAATAAATCAGCCGTGGGGTGATTGCCAATCAATTCCAATTAGGCCTGAATATGCTAAGTAAAGCTCCCAGCCGCGGACCGACAGTCCGGGCTTCATTACGGGGTACGCGCGGATTTCTTTCACAAGCGGTGTAATCTGATTTCCTTTTGATTTCCATTACAGACAGTGAATAATGACATTTAATTTAGCTGTGCGCCATAAACCCAGAGATATTTGTTGTAATTAAATTACCGCCTGCCCCTCACCCTGTTCTCATAACTTTCCATTATACCCTGACAGCTGGGTGATAGAAGTTTGCACCGCAACACAAAAATAAAAGGTTAATAAGGCCCAGGTTCCCGAGGACGCTCAATTTATTTACACCGAATTTCCACCGCAAATTGAAACTCTATCTTTTAACAACGCAGGACAAGCCCTTCCCGGGGATAGAATCCTCGTGGTCGCAGGCAGCACAACCCGGAGAGGACGACCAGACGGCTTAGAGACAGAAACGCAGCGCGTGTCCGGGCCTGTCCTGCTCCTCCCTGTCTTCGTCTTCCTCCTCCTCCTCCTCCTCCTCCTCGGCCGGCAGCGGGTGCACTAATTGATTTTTATGAGGCTTTCCCTGCCCTCTGCACCGCAGGACTCTATTCCCCAGGGCCAACAGAAAATTACCCCTCCTCGGATGCCTCCCTCCTGTGTGTTTTTATTATTATTTACGGTCGTTAATTTTTAATCTCTCCCTCAATCGGTCCGTCTTCTTCATTTGACACACGCGCACACGCACACGCATGCACACGCGTGTCCCGGCCCCAGCCCAGACCCCAGCGGGGATTTCAGAGCCCCGAGAGCCGATCTCCAGCAGCCCCGCAGTGCCTGCCTACTCTGCTGAGGCACGGGCCGGCCGTAATAGACTACTGCAAAGAAATAGTGCGGAATTAAATTACAAGTAATTTATTTTTATAGAAGCACTACATCAGGGCCCGAGAGCTTATTGCGGATCCCTGGCAGGAGGACACCAGGACATGACATAAAAGTTGACGTCGCCTGGAGCGAAAGTTTAATCTTTTGATTAATGTGCAGGGCCGGCTCCATCCGTCTTCCCCCGAAGGGTGCCACGATGGCCGAAGTCCGGCCTCTTCTTTCCACGCCCCGCCGAGGGGGACCCGGACCTGCCCACGGGGCTCCCACTCTTTCTCCACGTGGGGGACCCGGGCAGGACCCCCGTCGGCCGTCAGCGCCCTGCAGAGCTAAGGACGTCCGGGGCTGGTCGGCCTTTATTTCATGCTAAGGAAGCCTAATTTTACCGCGGCGCCGACAGCAAAGACACGAGCGGGCAGGTAGTGAGGAGCACACGCGCACCCCGACGCACGCATCTGTGGGACTCGAGGTTCTTTGCGGCGCGCTCTAGCCAAGCCCCTGCGTGCTTCCGTTCTGTAACTAAAACAGGAACCGACCGAGCAAGCCTCCCGCCCTTGTCAAAGCCTTTCGTGCTTGCGTTGCGAACGGGGCCCCTGCGTGGGGCAGGGACACACTCGTGCCCTTCTTGGCTGCGTCCCCAGGGCGGTCCCCGACCCCGCCTCCCGCGGCCCTTCTGCAGGCTTGCAAACGGGAGTCAGCCAGGAGGAGCGGTCTCGGGCCTCCCAGCCAGCCCGGGTACTCGGAGGCCGATTTCTCCAGCAACCTGTCACCTCCAACACGCGCGGGCGCGCGCGCGCGCACGCACACACACACACACACACACACACACACACGTGTGCACCGCGCACTCACCTAGCACATAAACTGGTGAATTTACCCCAAGGTTTGTAAGCCAGAGTCAGCCGAGGCCTCGGCCCGGGGTCCCCCCCCCCCCCCGCCTCTGCAGGCGCCAGATGGAGCCTCCTGAATCCGTGCGCTAGCCCTCGGGGGACCCGCCCGAGAGACGACGCCCGAGCCCCCGCGCTAATCCGGGCCCGGCGGGCGGCAGCCTGGCTCGCCGGGACCCGGACGCCCTCCGAGTGCGCGCGGGGAGCCCCCATCCCGAGTGCCCCGAGCGAAGTGGCAGACAGTGGAGAGGCCCGCCCGGCGCCGCGAGGACAGAGGAACCCAAGAGGGAAGCCCAGGGCGCGAGCTCCCGTCAGCCCGACGCTGCGGGGGACCCCGTCCCTCTGTCCCGCGGAGCGCGACCCCAGCCGGCCGGAACTGGGGAGCGGGTGAGAGGGCGCCGGGCGGCCTCACCTGCACGCGCGCCTCCGACAGCCCCAGGCGCTGGCTGAGTTCCTCGCGCATGAAGGCGTCGGGGTAGTGCGTTTCGTCGAACAGCCGCTCCAGCTCGTTGAGCTGCTCCAGCGTGAAGTTCGTGCGGCTGCGGCGCTGCTTCAGCTTGGTCTGGCCGTCCTCGTCCTCCGACTTTACCTCCTCCCGCTTCTCCTTGCAGTCGTAGATCCCTGCGGGGCCGGCGGGGCGCAGAGCTGAGACCCCCGGGCCTGCCTGCGCCTGCCGTGCGCGACCCCCGCGCTGCAGACGCGCCTGCCTCGCCCCGGGCGTGCCCGGTGCCTCTCCTCACTCGCGCTCCAGCGAGAGGACCCAGCCCAGCAGGGACCTGCACACCCTCGCCCGGGCCTCCGAGCCCGCCCGGCGTTTCCTGGCCTCCTCCCGGAAGAGATCCCCAATTATCCACTTCCCCTCTATTGACACAGCCTACGATTTTCTTTTGGAAGGAGAGCAGTGTTAAATATTATTTTTAAGGCAAAGGAACCCAGGAGGCGTCGCCCGCGTCCGGGAGCCCTGGTCGGCTGCTCTTCCCGGCCAGAGCCGGGCCGAGTCCGAGCGCTGCGCGCCACGCTGCACGGCGGACACTGAGTTGAGGGGTCCCTGGCTTCGTTCTCTTTGTCACCCGCGGGTTCTCCGCCACCCGCCCCGCCGGGGACGCCCGAATCCAGAGCTCTGGGGTCCACATTTCCTGCGCGCCTTTGCATCCGCCGGCCCGGGGAGGAAGGGGGCTGGGGCTGAAGGCCAACAAGACGGATCGGTGCTGGGGATTCTTCGGGGAAGCCCGCTCCGGCCTCGCCTTCCAAAGGCTTCCAGCCCCGCTGCCGCCGCTGCCTGCAAGGCCTTCCCGGGACCCTCACCCAGCCTCATGAGAGGTCCCGGGGGTCACGGAGAAGAGGCCGGCTTCAGCGGAGCCTCATAGCCGCTCCCAGCCCAGCGACTCGGACAGTGGGACGGACAGAGAAACCGGGGTACCGGACGCCGGGGGCCCAGCTGGATCCCAGCCACTGGGGCCTGGCTTCCTGAAAGTGTCCCCTCAGGCCGGGCAGGCCTGGCCGAGTGGCGCTTCAAGACCCTGCCTCCAGCCTCCAGGGGCCACGGGGTCCCTTCCCGCTTCCGTACTCCCCCGCGGGACCTGGCTCTGCCCCCTGCTCCAAGCCCTCTCCGGGGTCTTCGGGGAGCCCTCACCGTCAGGCGAGGAGCCCAGTGCTCAGCCCCGGTCTCCGTCCTGTGTTCCTACCAGCTGTGCTGAAACGCGGCCTCAGGACGCCCGGAGCCTCTGCCCCAGACGGCCCCGCTGCAGGCCAGAGGAAGCCCGAGTCTGAGGTCCCAGCTGAAAGATTTCTCGGGGACAGCACCCCGACAGCCCCGCGCTGAGTGCAGGGGTGGGGTGGGTGTGTTTCTCTTCTTCCCCTTAAAATCCTACCTTAGCAGCACCCTGCGGCGAGCTCTCGGGTCTGACTGCCGGGCGGGCGCCCCGAGTTACTGCCCCCGCCCCGGTGCCCCTCCCCAGTCCGTGCTCCAAGCTGAGCCGAGGACCAGGACGGGGCCTCCTTTCTGGGCAGACCCCGGCGGCCACCGTGGGACACAAGTGGTTTTAATTTGCAAACACAACCTCTAGCCTGCAGGTTCCAGGGAAAGTTCTCCTTCCGGGAAGGGGACCCAGGTGACTCCAGCCCGGACCCTGCCTGAGCTGGGCCTGGGTCCCTAGCCCTTCCCCTCCCTGGCTCAGGCGAGGGAGCCGCTTGTCTGCGTGTCAGACAGACAGGCAGGCAGACGGACAACCGAAGAGACTGAAGAGGCCCAGGCTCCATCCCTTCGCTGAGTCCTGGGGAGGGACCCGGCCGGGAGCTCCCGAGGCGCCTGAGGCCCGGGCTGAGATCCATTCCAGGGCTCCCGGCCACGCGCTCCTGGCTCTGCTCTGCTGCCTCCAGGTCCTGCTGGCCCGGATGCTTCTTCTTAAGGAAACCCGGGCGGGCGGTGCTGGGCCCAGGCCTCGCTCAGTCCCTGCCAGATGCAGCCCTGGCTGCTGCAGGGGTTGGGGAGGTGGAACGTTCTGCTCCTCCTGGGGTGCGCCAGGCCCCTCAGACCTGGGCTGGCAGGAGGCCTGGGTGGGGCCGGAGGGAGCCCGAGGGGACCCGCTGGGGACCCGGCCTTACCTTCCACCGAGGCCCTGGCCGGTCCGAAGTCCTTCAGCTTCTCCCTGTCCGGGTCCCCGTGGTCTTTGAACAAGTGGACCGGGCAGTGGGCCCCGCCGGCGTCGGGTGCGTCCTGCAGGCCGGACTCCGAGGTGCCGAGCTCCCGGGCGCGCGCTAGCCCGCTCTCCAAAACTTCGCGGTAGGTGGTGGAGTCCTTCCTGCCGCCGCCCGCGCCGCCGCCCGCGTTCTCCTTGCTCTTCTGGTCGAAGGATTTGGACACGAAGGCGGTGAGCTCTTCCATGGCGCGGGGGCGCAGGGGCGGGACGCAGCCCGGGCGCTCGCTGCGGGTCCTCGGTCCTCGGTCCTCGGTCCTCGGCGCTGGCGGAGGCGGAGGCGGAGGCTCCCTCCCCGCGGTTGTTTGTGCCGTTCCATTTGCGATCTCGCTATTTATACGGCCGCCTTCGCCCAGCCCCCCGCGCCCCTGTCTGGAGCGATTACGGCTGCTCGGCGCCCGCTCGGGGGAGGCGGAGGCCGCGGGCCGGGGACGCCCCACGCGCGACCCCCGCCCCCGGGCCCCGAACTGGGTTTCTGCGCAGCTCAGCACCGCCCGGAGACCGTGGGCCTCGGGGCGGAGAGGGACGGTGTCATTTTTTTGGTCTTCACTCTGCCGGGGAAGAGGCGGAGACGGCGACAGACGGACAGAGGAAGAGCGCGAGCTGCTGGGCGCCCCGAACAGGTACCCAGCCGGCCCCGCGGTGGGGAGGGCGCCGGGGACCCCGAGTCCCCCAGACGGGCGTGGGTGCCCGGAGTGACCACGGTCACCGAGGCTGGGACGCAGTCGCAGCCGGGCAGGGTGCCGGGCGCAGCGGGCTCAGCCGAGGTCCCCAGCTGGGCGGCCACGCGCTCGCGGGTGCCGGGGTCTTTACTTTGGAAAACGCCTGTCCGCGCAGCGAACTCTCCCCGGCCTCCTCGCGGGGCACCCGGACCCGCGGCCCAAGTGGCCGCCGTTCCTGCGAAACTCCTTCTGCCCACGAACTCGATGCTCCCCTCTTCCTGTAAAGATAGCCCTCGTCCCAGTTCCCCGGCCGGGAGGCGCAGGACAGGGAGGGGAGGCGTGTGTGTGTTCCTGGTCCTTAGGAGCCGCGTCCCCAGCGCTTGCCTTTAGTCTTTATTCCGAAACAGGGCCTGGCTAAGTTCCCCCGGGGTGGGCTCCAAACTTGAGACCCTGCTGCTTCAGCCTCCCAGAGTGCTGGGGTGACACCCCCACCCCCAGCCTGCGCTTTCTTACGACGGTTTGCCCTCTGAAGCAAGTGTGTCGCGGACCGGGACACCCGGATCCACGGGATCCACTCTGGGGACTTCCTCAGTTAGGGGGGCTCGGCAGAGCAGCCTTGGAGGGCTGCTGGGCAGAAGGGAGAGAGAGAGGGAGACCAAGACGGAGTCGGAGGGGGATGCTCAGGCCTCATCCAGCAGGGCCAGGGTGGCCCCTAGTGGGGCCCAGGTGGGTGTAGCTCAGGAGGCGGGGCTGGAAGGAGTGAAAGAGCCCAGGGCTTCCTCCTCCTCCTCCTCCTCCTCCTCCTCCTCCTCCTCCTCCTCCTCCTCCTCCTCCTCCTCCTCCTCATCTGGGATTAGAAACAGCCCTGGCCCCAGGTCAGCTGAGGAAATCGAGGATGGATCACAGAGGTCACTGGGGGTGGACGGCCTGGGGTTTGAGGTCCCTGGTGGGGTGACCCCTGTGTCCTTTCTCTGCGTGAATCTCCTGCTGCATCCCAGCCTGCAGTTCTGAATGTGCACGCTCCTGCTTCAGCCTCCCACGGTGCTGAGCTTTAGGCTGCCTGGCAGGCGGGGAGCCCCTCCTCTGGGACAGACAGACCCCAGAGGCCTGAGGGGGAACCGGGAAGAAAGGACACCCCAAGAGCAGCGGAGGGGGCTCCAAGCCACAGCAGCTTTCGGGGGACCCCAGACTTGGGGTGACTTTTTCCTTTCCACTTGCCCTGTGGCTCTGCTTCTCAGGTCTCTGATGGGGACCAGGCTCCGGTCCTGAGCCTTCATCCTGAGTCCCTCCCTGGGGCTCCCCAAGCCTGAGCTTCCTGCCCAGGCAAGGTGGAGACCCCAGCCCCCCAGCCAGGGCCCCAAGGCTGTCCTTGAGCCCCACGCCCTGCAGCCCTACCCCACCTGGGAGGAAACCTCAGAACCAGAGTCCCTGGGAGGCAGGGCTCCTCCAGGAACCGGGGTGCAGAAGGGGCACCCGGACACTCGGGACCCTGAGGAGGGCATCTGGGGGAATTCACACCCTCGCCTCTTCAGTGGGCCCCGATTCCACCTCTCACAAAAGGGCTTCAAAATAACGCAGCAGAAGCCAGGCGTGGTGGCGCACGCCTGCAATCCCAGCACTCTGGAGGCTGAGGCAGGAGGATCCCTGTACGGTCCAGGCCAGCCTGGGCGCCACAGTGAGTTCAAGGCCAACCAAACTGCATATCAGACTGGGTCTCAAAAAAAACCCCAAAAAACCTCCAAAAAAGCAATGAGGATGACCCGTTCACAGTGCTTTTTCTCAGACCTGCTGGTCTAGTCCTGTTTCTCTGTCTTCTTTTTCCGGAGTTGCAGGCCTGCAGAGCAAGGTCTTCTCAAAACCCGGCTTTGCCTTTTGGATGAACAAAATCTGAGCCGTCCCACTGGGGATGGAGCAGCGGGGGACCCCTGAGCCCCGAACCCCTGGCTCCTTGTGCCCAGCATCCAGATGTCCGGGCTCCCAGCTCCAGGGCGGCTGGGGAGTTGCAGGGCAGGTCTGTGCCTCCTGGGGAGGAAAGGGAGGGACAGAGGGGAGACAGAGCCAGGGGAGGGGGAGAAACAGAAAGAAAAATGAAAGGGGCCGAGCTGGGATGGAAGGAGGGAGCCAGACAGAGGGCAGGGAAGAGAGAAAAGGAAAAGAGAAACTGAGAGGAAGGAAGGAAAGGAGGCAGACAGGGCTCGGGACTCCTCCAGAGGGGAGCGGGGATCCCACGGGCCCTGCACCCCACCGCCTCCCAAGCCCCGAGACAGCCCCGCGGGCCGAGTCCTCGTCCGCCTGTCCCTCGTCCCTCTGTCTGTCCGTCCACCCCGCCGCTGCCCCCAGGCGCCTGGGGCTGCGGGTCCCCCCTCCCCCCGGTCGTTCCCCTCCACCGGAGTCTCCCCGCCGCTCAGTGCCCGGGGCCTTGGCCCGAGGAGGACCAGCCCTGAAGTCAGGGGCAGAGAGGAGCCTCCCCCACAATGCCCACCCTGGCCAGGTTGGGGCCCCTCGGGGGCGGGGGGCCCGGCCCTGGGTCCTGGACCGCACCCCCCTGTCTGGGACCCCGCTGGGACCACAGGGCCACCCCTGCCCCGGGACCCGAAGGCCCAGGGACCCCTCAGCCGACCGAGGCGCGGGAGGGGGGGGGCCCTGGATCCAACCCAGAGCCTGGCACGGGCTCTGGTCATCTCTGCAACTGGCTTTTTTTGGTGCATGAATTAGGAAAAATTTAATGAAGCTTTGCAGGACCCGAGCGCGCTCTCTCCCTTCCTCTCTCTCTCTCTCTCTCTCTCTCTCTCTCTCTCTCTCACCAAGGGAAAGGAATCTACATGAATATTCAAATGTTTAACATGTGATTTATTTAATCCTCTAAAAATGTACGGCTTCGATTTTTCAGCGGCGGAGATGGCCAGGCGGGAAGCACCCTGGCCCTCTCTCCTCACGCAGACGTATTTACTGTAAATCACATTTCACGCCCCGGGCTCCGGCCGGCTGAGCTGTCGGGGAGACCCGGGCCCGGAGCTGTCCTGCCTCTGCCTCCCGGGGTGGGGATTGTATTTCGGAAGGGAGGGGTCCTGGGCTGCCTCTACCCTCCGCCCCCAGCCCCCTGCCTTCCCGAGCGCCCCAGGAAGTGTCTTTCCGGAGCCGCGCTCTGTTAGTAGCGGGTGGGGCTGGCAGAGACGCGGCCCCTTCCCGGCACATTAAATATTTACAAGTATCGACTGCGGGCGTCCGAACGCCCGCAGGCCGGGGTCGCCACCTCCCACCAGCGGGCCTCTACGTTCGCAGGTCGGGCTTCTGTCCCTTCTTCGCGCGGCGTTCATTGATTGACTGCCACCGAGGGATTTCCATTAGCGTGGGCTTTGTACCACCGGACGGATGCCGCTGCCCAGGCTGTCGAAGGCCGGGCCGGGTGCTGCCGGGGGTGCACACGGGGCTCCCCTTGCCTGGCTCCCCCTGCCTTTCGCCCGGATTTACGAGGACCCTCGGATCGCAGCCCACCGCGCAGAGATGCAGTTTCAAACAGCGCTTTGCCTTGGCAGCAGATGGGGAGCGTTACCCGTCTTTCCCTTTCAGACTCCATCACGGGACCTTTGCTTTATGTTTTATTTAAGGAAAACATTATTTTTTCAGAGAGCAAAGCTGTTTGCCACGGACAGACTGCAGTGCTGTTTTCCTGCAGACCGCGGCTAAATAAACAAAGGCGATGACTACGTGAGGCGCCGGCGGCCTGCGCGCGCGCCCCGCGGTCATTAATGTTCAGGCGGCGAAGGAGGGGCCGGGGTGTCTGTCCCTGCCCTGCAGAGTGGCTTTCTACTCCTGCTCCGCGCTTCCTCGGCCGGATCGGCCTTGGCGCTGCTCCCCGGGCTCGGCTCGAGAAGGAAGCAGTTCACTGCGGAGGACCCCACGGGCGTCTTAGGCCTCTCGGCTCCAGATTTTAAAACGCAGGTGAAAGGGACCGAGCGAGCCACCTGAGAGACCTCCTTCTGGGCACTGCGTCCCGGCTGGAACCTCGGAGCGCTGGGGACCCTGGGCTGGGACCTGCAGGGCCGCCTCCCACCCGGCCAGGCTGGGCCTCGGCGCCTCGGGGGTGGGGGTGGGGGAACCGGACACGTCCCTGGGGGCAGAGGCGGGACCCGGCCTTGGGCATCTCGGACGCAGGGCGCACCTGCCCGAAGCTGCTGGCCGTGACGGCTCGCCCCTGAAACTGGGATCCCGAGTAGATTCCCAAGGGTCACCTCCCCAAAGATGCAGGGCAGGAGGGAGAGGAGCAGAGAGGGCTGACCCCCATCGTCCACCTCCCTGGGCCCCAAAGAACCGGACCCCCACCTGGTCGCCCCCACTGGGCATCCTGGAAGGGGCACCCCCAGAAGTTGGGGCTCCTGGACGCCACGTCCTGCCCCAAGCCCCTGACTATCAGGGATCCATTCCCCGGGACCTGGGCAGCGAGGCTTCAGGTGGCCTCCCTCCCAGGGACCACTTCCTGGACCCCACTAACGAGGTTCCTCGGACGCCCAGGGGCTGGGCCGGGC